TTAAGTGAGTGGGAAGAGGGGAAATGGTGTGTGCTAATAGAAGCTCCCCTTTTATTGTATTTATTAAGCAAAATTACAATAAAACCCTTCACACAACCAATTGCCTCAACTGCCTTTCTTCAAACATATACAATTCTCCTTGTTTCTCTCATCCAATAGAGCTAAATTTGACATTTGCACAAAAATTACATAATAAAAACAAAACTAAATATTGGAATTTTTTATTTTATTTTAACAAAAAGGGGAGTGCTATATGGTATGGAATTTTGAAGAACCAACCACTTGGCCTTTGTAGATGCGAGAGGTCGCAATTCATAGACTGTGGTAGCCAAATGCGGGGAAGCGTGCAGGCCGGACATGAATTTTAATTTTTCACGCGGAATGTAATCGCCACGCCAGTTTATTAAGATCCCTAAATTTCTTGCAAATTCCTCCAGATTTTATTCTCTCCTCTATAAACTATTGTGTCTTCATGTATATGTATGTAGATAGATACATATCTAATTATCATTATATATATATATATATATATATTAGGGTTCTTCGGTCTCTCTCAGTTTATAAAAGTATTTCGTTGGCCGGCTCAAACTTAATGTATATATATATTATATACACACGTATATGTATAGGAAAATGCTCGACACTGTAAAAAAATCTTTCACAATTAATTTATAATAATGTAATCTGAAAAGTATTAATTTTTTATTTGTTATATATTTAATTATATGAGACTCATCATTTTTATCACTTTATTATAAATGTATTTTTAGATATAAAATGTGAATCTCTAACATTGGTGATACAAAGAGAAAATGAAATCGAAAAGAAAAAAGAGACTTACTAGGAAGAAGCTTGGTGGTTGGTTGATCATTCAGAGCTTGATGGATTACTGGAATCCACGAGTGAGATGAAATCGAAAGGTTTACTTGTAGTGATTGCTATTTAGCCTCCGTTTGGGATGTGGGTTGGCTTTTTGACTTTTTGGTTTTTTGGCTATTTTAGCCTGGACTATTTTAGCCTGGTTTGGGAAGGGCTTTTTGGCTTTTTGGCTTTTTTGACTTTTTTTGTGAGAGAGGATTGTAATGATTATGGGTTAGATTTGATGTTTTGTTTTTTGTGGCTAAAATAGCCTATTTTGTTTTTTGTGGCTATTTTAGCCAAAAAAGCCTGATTTTTTGCTTGCCAAACGGAGGCTTAGTATTGGGGCATTGTTTTTTTGGCGGGAAAATCTAGGGATTTTTTTGTTTTACCGTAAAATATTTTACACAAAAAAATAAGGGCAAATTACACAAATAGTCCCTATAGTTTGGGACTTGTGTCACTTTGGTCCTTGACTTTTTAATTGTGACACATTTGACTATGAATTTTAAATTTTATTCTAAATAAGAACAATTAAAATTACCATTGTTTAATTTTAAGGGCAAAATCGTCAATTTAATAAAATATAAACTAATTTGACAAAAATAAATGTCAAAAAAATATTTTTAATTTTTTAAAAATTATTTTTATCCACCAATGATAAAATTATTTAAAATTGATAAAAATTAATAAAAATTACATGATTAATTTTTTAAAATTAATGTTCCATGATTATCATCCAAACACATAATAAAAATTAACTTGGTAAAAAAAATAAATAAATATTTAAAAGATTTATCAATTTTACATAATTTTATTTTTAATGGGTAGAAATAATTTTTAAAAATTTAAAAATATTTGTTTGACATTTATTTTTGTCAAATTAGTTTATATTTTATCAAATTGATGATTTTACCCTTGAAAAATCTAATAATATTTTTAATTGTCCTTATTTGGAACAAGATTCAAAATTCATGGTCAAATGTGTCATAATTGAAAAGTCAATGACCAAAGTGACATAAGCCCCAAACTATAGGGACTATTAGTGTAATTCACCCAAAATATAATTTTTTTATAAATTAATTTTACACAAAAAAATATTTTTATTTTTATTTTTATTTTTTGACATTTGATTGACACTTGAAACAAAAATATTTTATTTTTTAGAAGAGAAATTTTGATTCAATATTGTTTATGACTTTTTAGTAAGTTAAGGTACTTATTTAAAAAAGTTAAATATGTTGAAAATGTTGTGAGTGAAAGTCAATTTTATAAAAATTAACTTATGAAATTTTTGAAGATAAGTCATTTTTAGAAAAATGATGCAAAATATTTTTTGATATTTTACTTCCTTTTGTTCAACCAAATAGTGAAAAATGTTTACGTCAAAACAAACAGAGCCTCAATGTGTTTATGTTGAATATTGGGCAAATTATAGGGTCATCTATGTAATTTACTTTTTGTGTCTATTTAACATTTATAGTTTTAGTCTTCGTTTGGAAAGAACTAAAATAACTTGATTTTTTAGCTATTTTAACTTATCTTTTTTAGCCTCGTTTGGTTTTTTTTTTGACTTTTGTAAGAAAAAAATATAATGATTATGATTTAGATGTTACATTTTATCTTATTGACTTATGTAACTAATTTTATCTTTTGTATTTTTTTAATCAAAAAGTCAAAATCAAACATAGCTTTAATTGAATTAATTTTGTCTTTAAATTTTTCATATTATGTGAATTTATACTATTTATAATAAAAAAATTTGAACATAAATTAATTTTAAAAATGCTTCTAATAGCCTATACTACTATATTTACTTTCAAATTTTAAATTTTCTTTTTCTTCTCTTAGCGCCTACCTTAAGTTACTATAAATTCTTCTCTTATTCCTAGCGTTTGAAACTCTAAACTTCCACCTCCAGCCATTGTTGTCACCACAACCGCCACCCCTTAACTCCATTTTTATCCTCCTCATGCCATCTTCACCCTTCCCCCTCACATCTACTACTCTTTCTCTTCATTCTCGGATACCCACCATATCCTCCCCCTTTCTCCCATTCTTTTTCTGCTTCAATTATAACATGGTCTCTCTCTCTCTCTCTCTCCTCTTTTAATTTTTTTCTCTCGTGCACTTGAGTGATTTCTCACTTTGTCAAGATAGTTGCAAATGAGTAAGAAGGGGGGATCATTGTGGAAGGAGAACAAGGGTTTGGGGAGTGGCTGTGGAGAATTATAAAATTATAGATATACACAAATAAGACAAGATTTACGTAACTCATTTCACTACACTAGAAATGTTACACAAAATATCAGTTTCATTTAACTATATACATAAAAATTAAAATAACAATTTATACGTATAAAAATATCATAAATACTCTTAGTTCAGAATAAAATTGTAAGTTCTAAGTTCAACTAAAGTACGTTAGTGTAGCAATCATTATAGCCTTAGTGACATTGCCACTATAGCCAATTAACATGAAAAAAAATTTACTATACAAATAATTTTTTATTTTTTTGACAAATTTAAGTACATGTTATTAAAATTTTGTTATAAGAAATGAGATGAAGTAAATTAACATGAGAGGAACCACATTTGTTTATAAAGAATATTTGTAATTTTATTTGTTTGTAAGGTATACTATTCAAATAATATCCACATCTATGCCTCTAAAATCTCAATGCTTGTCCAAAAAATCTTGCCATTCGTCATCTAGGAAATTAAACTAGTTCAGTAATCCCAGCATATTATTGCATGTTCCTGTATAAAGAATAAATTATATATTAAATTAGACATCCAAAATCTTATTGTCTATTCTTTAGTTTCCAACTGGGATTTTATGTGGCTGAAAGATTCCATTAAAACCAACTGAAAAATGGCATGCATACGATTCGTATCTTGTAGTGGATTTTCCCAATCCTTGCTAGTGCTTAGTTAGCATGATTAAAAGTGACATTTGAAGATTGTAGTTTTAAGTTAATAAAAATAAATCGCAAGAAAATGAGAACAAAAAGAAAAAAGCATAGACATGAAATTTCACTAGTTTTATAGTAGTTTTTTTTTTATCAATTTTAACACACTTTTCAACCCTTATACTTTTAATTTTACAACAATTTTCACTTGCAATCTCAAGTCTACCATGAGACTAGTGCTTATATCCCTCTTATCCCTCTTAGTGGTTTGAACACCACAATCACCATACATATGAATATAAGTCTATTAGGCACTGTCACATTGCCAATTGATTTTTAAAAGTAAGTTCTATCTAAAGCATTAATATTATTTGATATCAGAGCTAACCATCACGTCGAGTATGATCGGACAATGCAAATTATGCAAGTATGGATCAAAACGTTGAGTACAAGATCGGACAATGCAACCTATGCGTGTATGGATAAAAACATCAAGTACAAGATCAGACACTGCAACCTATGCATGTATCGGATCGAATGGACTCAATGTATGCCGTGTTTTTAACCCACATTTGTAAACTTATCACTAGACAATTAATCTAAGACTTGGGCTTAAAAAAACACTTGGATTAGGTTTAGAGAGAATGAGAATATTGGATTGGAGGAGACAAAGCATCAAAGCTGGAAGATATATTATGTCTGCTGTGTCCAGGCAAGTCTTAGAATGTCAGACCCCCTCTCCACTATCTCTCTTTTGCCCATGTCATTTTCCTACAATTTTTATCTCCACATCATTTCCCATCTCAAAGACTCCCCACGTCTATGGTTGACAGATTTGATTCTCTTCCTCAAGAAAACTCACTTTCTTTCTTGCCAAACAAAGCCTGCACCCCTAATTCAGATATATACACTAATTAACTACCACAGTTTAAGATTAGCCACGTTTCAATGATTGATTTTTGAGACTCTAATCATTATCATCTTGTTAATTAAAGGCGCTTAAACCCCTGAAAGGTTGCATTATTTTAATGCATCTATGAGTTGTACTTTGGTTAAGAGAATTGAGACTTGAATTTTTTTTAAATTAATTAATTATTGAGAATTAAAGAATTGAACCCTTTTAAACAAATGATTTAAATCCAGTCTGACATTCTGCATAGCTGTTGGATATAAATACATCAATTTTATCCCATTTTTTTCCAAGCATCGAGCAATTCGAGCTTCCAAAAAAGAAAAAAAGTACGCTCAGTTTAGTCCATCCACCGTGCTAATCAAAAAAATATTTTGAGGAAAATATGGAAGCCATGCCAGAAATAGAATGGAATGGTTTTAACACAGGAATGTACTGTAGCGAAGAAGAGGACTTCATGGCACAGTTGCTCGGAAACTGTTCGCTTCCCAATGAGTTACCGGGGATTTCAAGCTTTGGAGTCCCCTCTGAATCGGCTATGAACTTTTCTGTAACATATTCTTCATCAGATAATAGCATTAATCCTAATGTATACTCTTTCTCACAAGAGAGTAGTTATAACTACCGGTACCAGGAGCTGAGCGATCATTCTCATCGGTTTTTGGCGATGAACGATAGTTCTATGTCGATTGACACCGGCTCCCCTGTTGAGGTCTATACTGATAATTTGATGGAAGGGGATGATGAGATCATAAGGGAACCCGAGATGGCAGCAGTACCGGAAACATCTTCAGAGGAGAAAAGTGACAGCCTGCAGCCAGAGAATTCTTCCAAGAAAAGATCGCGGGTTTCAGGAGATGTGAGTATAGTTGACCTTGATGACTTGGGATTAAATTTCATTTCGGCATGTTGTTTTGGTTAGCTTAGATAACAAAAATGTTTCAGAAATGTTTACGAGAAATGAGGGAAAATATTGAAAATATTTGGAAACAAAAACTCAATAATTAAATAATTGAAAACAGAAAGGTTAGAGGGTTAATTAGAGAAGAGATTTTACATTGTTAAAAAAAATGCTTCTAAAAAATGAAAAAATCTAGTAGTAGTGGTGGGGATGAAAAAATATAAATACATATATACTTGTGGTACCAAAGAAAGAAAATACGTGACTTAATTATACTTCTTTTATCTTTTCCTTTCTAATCTCTCAAATTTTCTAATAAATTTAAAATTTCTTAAGTTTTCCTTTTAACAAAAAAATGGACAAACAGAAAATAGCATTGTTAATAGGCATTATTGAAACAACTTGTCTCAGTATGTTTTGTAGTATTTCGGTGTGGATTAGTATGTTTTGGTGGAAACATTGGAATTTCAATATTAATTCCACTAATGTTTCCTTTCAATTTCTTAAGAAAAAGGAACATTTCGGTTGTTTCAATGGAAAAGAAACAAAAATTTGTTCTTTCTTGATAACAAGTTTTCTTCAGTTTCTGATTGGAATTTGATAATGTAGGTACAGAGAAAGAGAAATGTGAAGTCAAGGAAGAACCAGAAGGTTGTGTCGGGTAACAACAACAATGAAGACAACAACAACAATGGTGGGGGGATAAACAATCAGGCTTCAAGTAGCTGCAGCTCAGAGGATGCTCAGTACTCCAATGGCTCTCAGGAGCAGCAGAATGGAGGAATGACTACAAGTTCAAGCTCCAAAGGGGCTGCTGCAACTCTCAACTTGAATGGCAAGTCAAGAGCCAGTAGAGGGTCTGCCACTGATCCCCAGAGCCTCTATGCCAGGGTAACTACCTCCCTCTGCCCACATATAAGCCCTGTTTGCAGTGTTTGGGGCAGCTTATTGGAGTTGTTTATAATTTATTTATTTTGAGAATCTATATTAGATTGTTTGGTGCAGCTTTTACATACAGTTTATAAGACAAAAATAATTTTAAAAAAATAAAAAATAGAAAGTTGATCATCCAAAAGTTAGGGGAGGGTACTTTTAGCTCTTGCTTTCTGATAATCAACTTTCAGCTTAAGAAAAGTTGTACCAAATAGGCCTATTAACTTATCTTCAGCAAACATTTGTGTATCAGAAATGCTATGTACGTAGAAAAAATATTAAGGAAGGTGTATAGAATTTGAACACGTGGTTTAAATTCTGGATATTTTTCTTTGTGTTTTTTCTAAGTACGTAGCATTATTGTTTAAGCATAGTTGATTAATCGATCCTTTTTCCTTCTTGCAGAAAAGAAGAGAGAGAATAAATGAGAGGTTGAAAATCTTACAGAACCTTGTCCCCAATGGAACAAAGGTAGGCAGTCACTGATAATTTGTATAATTGATTTCTTTGGTTTATCAAGTTGAAAAAGAGGTCCTCATCAAAACCAATTGTTGGGGTTATGACAGGTTGATATTAGCACAATGCTTGAAGAAGCTGTCCAGTATGTGAAGTTTTTGCAACTCCAAATCAAGGTAAGAAAAAAAGAGTGAATCACACTTTATATGCATTTCAAGATCCAAGTAAATTTCAGTGAGACTGTCTACCATTCTGCCATTGAGGGGGAGGAAGATGAGCAACATGGTTTTGGAAATCAAGTGCTTCCATTTATTTATTTGTTTTTTTTTTTATTTTCTTCAGATGTCAACAATGAACATGAGTGGGGTTAAACAAATGCAATTTAAAAAGGAAATGTAATGTTGCACCATTGACTAGGATTGCTCATCATGCAATAAACAATGAGATTCAATTCCTTTAATTTAAGAGAAGGGTGGGCCCTAAAGGCTTGCAGTTAGTGTGGGGTTTGCAATAAACAATGAGATTCAATTCCTTTAATTTAAGAGAAGGGTGGGCCCTAAAGGCTTGCAGTTAGTGTGGGGTTCAAGTCATGAAAACTCTTAGGCGCAAGCATGATCTAGACTCTGATATTAATGTTAGACGTGTGGTCTACTCCTTACTTGAAAGTATTGTCCATTATGACCTAAGCCAACAGTCGATCTCATGGGTTTTGTCCCTTTGGGCTTCAAACCAAAAAGCACCTCCATTGATGTGAGACGTAACAAAAACACTCTGTTTAGAAAAGAGATAATTTTATCCTCTATTTGAGTCACCGAAATAGCCTCTCTAAAAAGAGATAAGGCTACGGATATGTTGTCCTCCCCAAACCTTGCTTTAGGTTGTGTCTGAATTTTAGATTTGTGAATAAATGGATTTACTCCTTTTTACAATGAGATTTACTCTAAACCTTAATCTTGCTTTCCTTTTCCTTTTTCTCATTGCTTTCCTTTTCCTTGTTTGGGGATTTACCCTTGCTTTCCTTTTCCTTTTTCTCTATAAGTTGCTCGTCAAATCTAATATCCAAACACAATCTTAGTAAGAAACTCGTGTACTGAGTCACCGTTATTGAACTATGTTAATTTGTTTGTGAATGCTATTTCCTCTTTGGTGCAGCTTTTAAGCTCTGATGATCTATGGATGTATGCTCCTATTGCTTACAATGGAATGGACAATGGGCTTGATCTGAAGATCCCAAGCCCAAGATGATATGGTCTTTGGAGACCAAGATCTATCTGGTGTTGCTGCTGAGATAATATATGAAAGTCATTAATTGCCATCTTTGTTATGGCTTTATTTTGTTTAATAAGTAATTATTTCTATATTATCCACGAGGACTAAATGTCATTAATAATTGATTAAACTCCAATAACATGGGTTGAGCACAACATAACTCTTGTACAAACACTGACTTGAACCAATGGCATTGTAACAATACAATCCTTCCGTGGAATGGTTAATTTCACGTTAATTTGTTATTCGTGTTGATTAATTTCTTTATAACCATGCATATTCAAGACATTTCATAAAAATATTTTAACCATATTGATGACATTTTATTATGTATTCTTTGTTTGAACTATGAACACGATGTTGTTTTACAATTTGACAATTCTAAAATCTCATCTTTAGAGCATATTAGCTATAGGGTCCTATACTAGGTTTAAATATATATATATATATATATGTATGCGCTCAATTTAATGAGGGTTTGAGAGAAACAGATTAAATACAGACAAAGTTTTCAAAGGCGAATGCATACCTCGAGGCGTTTTACCCCTCATGAGGCGAGACGTAAGCCTCAGGGCGTTGAGGCATAAGCATTTCAAATTTCAAATTTTAAATTTTAATATTTAGTGAATAAATTAAATATTTTAAAATAGTAAAAAAATAAAAACAAAATTAAATATAAAAGTGTAAATATTTTTCGCTTGAATGCGTTGAACATTTTACTGCATAGAAGGAAGTTTTCCTTAACTGAAAGTGAAATTGATATTCTTAATTTCAGTGATTGAGCTTCTCACTTGACCATTATCTGTGTTTTTTCTTGATTAATCATTTACTTAATTTTTCTTGTAAAATATAGTTGCAAAAACGGATTCTTTTTATTTTTCTATATTTAAACAATCCAATAGACTAAGTTTAACAAAAGCCCAAGGCAACCTCTGCATGTGCATACTCCTCACATGTTTATACGCAAAAAGCGTACAAAGCGCACCTAAGGCGCATGTCTCAAACTATGATGCGCAAGCTTTTGGGGAGTAATGCTTAAAAATCAAAGTCTTGATGCGTTTTACCTTAGCCTCAAGGCGAGGCAAGCATCGAAGCGAGCCTCAGGAAAGCCTTTTAAAACTTTGAATACAAATTTAACCTTTGCCACTATTCACACAAAATAGTCTAGAAATATTAATCAATCTGATAAATCGCATCCATTTCTCTAGGACTCGACTCAATTTTACCTGACTCAAAAGTTTAAATTCCAATTGCTTAGGGATAACATGATCCATTCTCTCTAATTAGAGTCAAAAGTGGCATCTTCAACCAAATTGTGTGTTATTTTTCACCATCTCAACTCATGTCCTTTAATTTTCCTCGTCTTTTTCAGATCATGAACTCTTCCTACTTCAATTTTCCTTGTATCTTTTTGGAATCATCAACCTAGACTATGGATAAGAAAAAGTACAGTAAAAGAGTTGAAAAAAGGACAGAACAGTGAAAGTCAGATGAGCAAGGTTAAAGTAAACCGCTAAGTGACTCGTGAAAAATCCTATTTGAGTACGAAGTCAACTTGCATTAGTTTCATACTCGCAATTTCTTACTTCATGAAATAAATTTAGATTCCGCACCCTCCACCGCTTTCTATCAAGAAGCACAACTTTTGATTTTGAGATCTTTTGTCCAATCTCCCATGTCAATGTCATCTTGTCTCAAACACCACATCTCTACTACAAAATCATAGTCAAAGAGACTCATCGTGTTGTGGTTTAGAGCAAGGAGATACAAATAAATAAATACAGTGTAATGTCAGCTCCATTAAATTAGGTATACACCTTTAAAAGTCTGTATTTCCATGAGTGATACTTCATAGAAGTCCCACATTCATGCACACCATTTGGTCAACAAATTGTTAGTTAAATCCAAACTCTTGATCAACCCAAAACTACAAACAGTACAATAGAATCGTCCAACACCACAGCACCATGGACAACTGAAAGTTGTTTAAGTATATATACATACAAATTTTGTCCAATGTGCAAATAAAAATGTTAATTGTACTTACATCAACAAATAAGCAATCGTAACAGTAGACAATTTATGGAGTTTCAATTTTAAAATAAAAATAATAAAAAAGAAAGAAGATTTTTTCACTATAGCCTGGTCCTACTTGATCTCCTCCAAATCCAGATCCTATTTCAATTCAACATGTAACATTCCAAATAAACATTGGTACAAGTTCAGATCTTGCACATATTTTACAGAGACATTTTAGATCTACCCACAAACTTTGGATCAATGTGATGGCGTAGGACTTCTAGCATCGGCCCCAAATTCTTGGGAAAATAATGATAATGTGTTCTTTCTATGCTCGATCCTGACTGACATGATTTGGAACCTCTCCTTGGCTGTCCAAAGGCATGTACTGTGACATTATAGCCCTGATCTCTGTATCCATGTATGACTGCAAAAACAGACAAAATAAAAATCCCAGTTCAAAATTCTCAGAAATTACAGAGCTACAAGTTCATTAATCAAAGTCATTTTGAGTCAATCAATCAACTAGTTAATTTCACTAATCAAAGTCCTAGACAATTGATGTAAAATAAATGCTTCCACAAACTTCTTTGTAGATGACATTATAGCCTAACATGTAAATTTCCTTAAAGAAATACAGGTATAAGCTTGCTTGAGAATAGGGCTGCAAATGATCCGAGTTGTTCATGAACAAGCTCGGCTCGGCTCGGCTCGGCTCGTTTAGTAAACAAGCCGAGCTCAGGCTCAAATATTAGGCTCATTTAATAAACGAGCTGAGCTCGAGCTCACATAAGCTCGGCTCATTTATATTTATTTAAATTATATAATAAATATATTATTTATGTATTAAATAATATATATAAATATATATAAATAATAATATAAATACATTATTTATATATTAAATAATATAAATAATATTTTTAAAAAAATTATCGAGCCGAGCCGAGCCGGGCCGGGCTCGAGTTTCATTAATATTAATGAGCCAAGCCCAGCTCGAACCCAGTTCCTTATGAAGCCGAGCTCGAGCTCAGCAAAGCTCGGCTCGACTCAGCTCAGCTTAGCTCAGCTTGGCTTGGTTCGTTTGCAGCCCTACTTGTGATGATTACATAAGCTACATTTAGATTAGCAATTGGTTGAGATGAGATCAGAAATTTTAAGTACTTAGGTTTCATGAAGATAGGATGATACATTCTTCAAAGCTATTTCTTAGGCCAAAAGAACTACTCATTTTAACATTGTATCCAAACATGCCCTAGTACTTTATTTCACTTCCATCCTTTTTTTTTTTTTCTGATAAATATTTCACTTCATCGTATTTTGTTGGTAAATTGAACTTACATCCCTTAAAATTTGGCAAAATAAAAGCCCCACAAGTTCAGCATAATTACATTGAGCTCCCGTAAAGTTTTAATTCACGTAACATTTAACCACCCCTTTTTCATCAACAATTCATTAGTCATATGGATTAAAAAATGTTGTGTCGTTTCTTTGACATTGGAAAATTGTATATTTTGCCCTTGCTTTTCCCTACATCTACACACCATCTGCACTATTTTGGGACATATTAACCTTACTAAAAGGGAGGTTCTTGGCACAATTATGCTAAACTTGTGGGGCTTATCGTATTTTTTCTTAAACTCAGGGGTGGTCAATGCAATTTTCCCTATTTTGTTTTATTGTTTTGACCCCTACACAACTAGAGGACTTAGCATGAGAGGCCGAATACCAACTAGGGGACCTAAGGTTTTGCTAGAAGTTCAAAAAAAACAATGCCCAATTGGTACACATTAATGTGTTTGGGAGGAGAAAGATGGAGTATACACCTAAACTTTGGCATAATGCACAAAGTAGGGGCTCCAAGACTTGAACTCAAAACCCCAAGGTTATCGGCCCAAGTCTTAACTATTGAACCAATGGTCACCCCTTTGCTAGAAGCTACTAAGGGCAAAATCCAATCCAGCCCTTCCACTGAAGTTTTAAAGTTCAAACACTAACTACAACAGCAATATTGGTCTCCAGTATCCATTGCACCAAACTTACCCTCAATCTATATTTGTACACCATATATGCTCCGCCAGCAGCCATAGACAAACCTATCAAAATGACCCAAACAGCTGCCCATGAAGATCTCACTTCGGTTGCCCTTTTACCTGCAGATGACCCCATTTGGAGAACGTCAAAACAAGCAACACGTGTGCAAGTCCAAACACATGAATAAAGCTACAAAACTCGAGTTGAGAAACTCACTTATGCAAGTATCATGGTCCCTCATATACAGGAGGTCTCCACTGCAAGTGCATTCGTAGCTACCCCAGGTGTCCTTGCAGGTGCATTCGGGGCACTGGCATGCTTTCTTCTCTTTGCATTCATCAATGTCTGTGCAGCAAGAACAGATGTGCAAGAATATCATTATAGGCTCGAATTGAAGCTCTAATTTGAGCAAGAACATAATTTTCATAGATGGCCCAACAGCATGCCAAGCTGATCATGCAAGCTCTCTCACCTTCACAACTTTTGACACCATCACCTTTGAACCCTGGAGGGCACGCGCATTTGCTGTCCCCAATATCCTGTTGAACACAAAGCTTAGAATCAGCATCTCAACCTATATGCGGCAGACATAATTAACACAAAATGAAACTATGAAACGATCACCAACCAAGCAAGCAGAGTAGGTGCGTCCATCTCGGGTTTCATGCCAACAACCTCCGTTATTGATCTTGCAATGCCCTACCCCACTTGCTGTAAATGAAAATGACAAACGGTTATTATATAATTATTACATGCTTAAACTTTTAACACCAAAACACTTATAAAATTTGATAATAAACATAGAATACTGACATTTTCAATACTATTAAGTATGAAATATGTCTGCATGTGATTTCCGAACACTATCAAAACTTACATTCAGACCTTAAATCCAAAAAAACATACGGCTTCTCAGGAAATCAAGAACACAGCTCAATGTTCAATTTATGGGTCCTTTTTAAGCAGCACAAGATACACCAGAAGATAAGCCACAAGTGCTGCAGAGACCAGTGAATGACGTCGGATGATTCTCAAATACTTAATTTGGAAACCTCAAGCATTTTATTCCATATCATTTCCACTATGAGACTAAAATTGTAAATCAGATGGTAAAGGTTTCCATAAATAAAACGGAAATTCAGATGTTTTAGACAGAATCTTCAAATCATTTTCCACTATGTATGGCCCCTCACATGCAACCACCTCTTGCATGTGGAAGGACAGTTAACAAACAAATTTAACGGAATACAATGCACAAACATATAAGGAATGGGGACACAAATAGGGAGGAAACACATACGACAAGACTTGAACCAAAAACCTCTCAAAACCAAAACCATTAACCATGTTAGAACAGAAATGCCTCAAATGCTGAAGCCATTAGAAATGGAACCAACAATGTAATATAAAGTTCTCAGGAAAGTCTCCCCTCTATATATCCTGTTACTTATAAAAGCAAGATTACAGTTTTCAAACCCAGAGGAGAAATATCACTGTTCCAACAAAACTGGAATGCCATGAAGAAGCAAGAAAACAGAATGCTAGCATAATCACCAATACAGAAAAATGACCAAATAAGGAATAAGGGACAAATAATGATGCAACTTTACAGAAGTTTTGGTTCGTTTGAATCAAAAGATTATTTATGGGTATGTTAACAGAAAACGCTAATACCCTAGCGAATTACGTATTGGTACGCACGATCCAAAATATGGTAACTTCCTTTCCAAAATGGTAAATTTAGTGATCTAAAATGATCCCAAAAGTTTTTCCAATAAATTTCCTTAAATGTTTCCTTGGGAGGAAAAAATCAAATATAATGAATTAAAATCTAAAGTAAGTTAAGTTTTGACAAGACAAAACATAAAAAATGGGTCATAATACTCATAGAAATGTTTTGCTACATGAAAAGGAAAAACTAAATTTTATTAGATGTTTAATAGTTAAAAGAAAATTCCTCTAAAAGTACCTTAAATTCCCCAGTATATTATATATACAAGTCTACCCCTATCGTATCACATTTTAGAGCATGTGGCGTACCACATTCCAGTTCCCGTTGCCCATACTGGAACGATCCACATTCCAGGTAACATAGTTACAACTCTAGGTTAAACTTCAGTTGCTCGGGAATGATTTCAATTTTTAAACCCTCAAGAGCTGCAACTACTCTAAGAATCAGATATCACCAGCAGTTTACACTGTGCAGAACTTAGAAGTTGGAATGATAATTCAACCCTAAGATGAGGTTCCAACTTCCACTTTAACTTCAGTCCCCCCTGAAATTATTTTGATTAATGGACCCTTAAAAGTTGTGGCTACTCTAAGAAATTGAGGGACAGTTGGTCGTGTGTTGTCAGGGACATGCCAACACAAAAAATTCCAACAAAGTCGGACATGGACACGCCACAAATAAATTTATCTTGATATTATATTATATAATTATATATGTGCATAATATATAAAAAATAAATAATCACTTTATACTAAGCAAATCTTGTATCTAATTCTCTTGCACGAATTTTTAGACTATTTGACTATAGTAGTTAAAAATAAGACAAAATATAGTGAACATGTAAAATTACGACACTTCCCTCATCCTCCTAAGCCATATGCTAATACATTTACGTATCCTTTTTATTTTTTATTTAATTTTATGTGAAACTTCTATAGGATTATTCTTAAGAATTATACATTTTTAAGGGGGTATAAGATACTACTTATGTCAAAATCTCAAACTTTGACATCATACATTAGCAAATATCCAATAAATGTCAGAAAGACCTAAACTCAGAAAGACCTTAACTCACTTCAACTTATTAGAGCAATTGAACATCTTGATTTCATGTTTATTTTTTAGTAATAGACATGAAGTGACGGGAATGTCACAAAATGAGTGTGTCCGAAATTAAGATTTTTATTTTTAATTATAGACAAGGAAAAATGAGTATCGGACACATGTCCGAGAGTATCCGACACATGTCCGCATGGACATGTCACCGTCTTAGAAGTGTCCATGCTTCTTAGTGTACATATATATCCATTATCCATGTTTATGTTGCTTTTGCTGTCATTCTATTTTCCAACAATATTGATGGGATTCTATGAGAGTGTTTTAGAACTTTCAAGCCTTACTAATATAGACAAAATAGAAATTTCAAGTCTTACTAATATAGACAAAATAGAAATTTCAAGCTTTAGGTATTTTACAAGAATTCACAAATGTCGATTCCATCTCTTTGGATCCTAAGCTAAAACATTCAGGCAACCACAGCCTTAGGATAAAACACCAATTAGTCCATTCTATATTTGTAATTAGCTAGGCCCCATTTAACTTATCTAAATGTGGTCATATCAAAAAGCTAACAGACATTTTTCCATATGTTTACACGATAATGTTGTGTCCATACATAAGCATTCATTAACATTTGCCAGATCCACTAGTTCCAACACTATTCTTAGCACTTGAACAGATTGGTTGGTTTTCAAACAAACAAAGAGATCAAACCTATCGTTTACCTTGACAGTTACTGTAACCATCTCCCTTGAACTGCACACCATCTACCAGGGGGCATTCACAAACTCTCCCACGAAATGTATCCTGAGTATATAAATGTAACAGTAAGTAACTACGAACACCTAGACAAATGTAAAATCTAAACAGTTGTAAGTCATGAAAAGGTACCTTGCATGCAGTTATGTTAGCTGCTTTATCTTGCCAGCAGCCACCATTATTATCCAAGCACTCATTTGTCTCCACATCTGCAATAAAGAAAATATCCCTTTAAAAACTCATCTTGTGAGTAAAAAACAAATCATTCATGACAGTATAATATCAATATTTGGCTCAAAAAAGAATTAGGAATTTACCAGCACTCAAACAAACAGCCGGCTCAGTAGTTTCCTCAAAACCCGCACAAATGGCCTTCAAAACAGCACTTTTCTCCAACTTCCCTGAAATAATATAATTGGTAACAAAAAGAAGAAGAAAGAAGACTACCTTTCTAATCAAAGGGACACAAGCACACGGACAGACCTCTGTATTGTCGATTATTGACAACAAGGGTAGGCAATATTGTTACATCACCTCGTGATCCTTTTCCAACCTACAACAAATTATACTTGTTAAACAGTTATATGACAGAAATTGTATAAAAAAAATTGAAGGATTGTTTATAAAGAGAAGTTGCAAAGGCACTACACATGTTCAACAACACTACTACATAAAGAAGAAATTCATACTTGAGCATCTTGCTCCTCTTTCAAAACGGGATTGTCAGAATCGGCATGTGGGTCTCCCATGCACTTCTCGATCTTTTTAAGATCAAGTCCTGTAAGCATGAAAATTATAATACAATTCATTCAAGGTCACTGGCATAATTAAAAGTCAGAGGATGCAACGATAAGTTATTCACCTAGAGATCTTATCACATCCTCAGCACATTCCTTGTTGTATTTGTTCTCCTTCATGGGACATCTAATTTGAAAATCAGTCACGTAGTCCCACCAGACCCAGGGCTTTTTAGTCTCATTTGCCACTCTAAACAAACAAAGCTGCCTTAAGTTTTCAAGAACCACATTTTTCCCTTCATAACCTCTGCTAAAATCCTGTTCAGGATCAGGAGCACAATATCTTCCATGATTGATACATTGGGACTGGCACTGTTTGCTTACTGTGAATGCCTGAGGACAGTACCAAGTTATATAATGAGGTCTGAATTGAGTATAGCCACCTTTCTCAAGAATCTGAGCTGGACCCTTAAAATCTTTCACAAATTCTATCAACATATCACATTTAAACCCACACTCATCGTTGCTGTTGGTCCACAACTCATACTCTACCCGATCATCTGGGTGCGGAACAGCTTCTCTCCAATCAAGATTCACATTTACCATTTCCCCACCACTGAGTTCTTTCTTTAATTTTTCAGCAAAACTTTTCTCAATCAGTGCAGATGGTATTGTGATGTTTTCGATATATTTTGCAGATGCAATATCCTCCGCAGGCGTGTCCATGGTTATCAACGCTTCATCAAGATCATCAGCTACAAGCACTGCAGAAGCACCAGCACTTTGGGCATTCCAGACCTTCAAAGCAAAAAAGCAATCTGAAAAAGAAAAAAAAAAATTTAAGCACAAAATTCATTACTAGCCCACTCGATCGAGTTAATATACAACCAGATGAAGAAAAACAAATCTAGGTTTATACACTATTCATTGAAATATAAAAAGGTTCAGACATGTATGACCAACACATCCAGGTCCATCATACTCTCATGTCCCATAAAGCAATGCTGTGTATTTTACCAGACAAAAACAATCACAAAATAATTAAAATTAAGAAGTTCCAACTGTTTGTCCAACCAGGTTGATAAAATATTGATAAAATATTCCCCCTTTGTGCACCAAATGCTAGTGGGTTGGTTAGAGTAAATGTATATGATCGGAGGTTAGATGGTAATGACAGTTTGCAAGCTTATTTTGTTTTCCCTGTGGATTGTCAGTGCGAATTAGTGTATTATGGGAATGGTTATTGTTCCATTAACGAAAAACAGGTGCCATGGATGGTGAAGTATCGACTCGAAGATTTGAATATTAAAAAGGGAGTAACATATTGTAAAATGAAGGGATATTTGAAGTATTCTACAAGTGAAATGCTAAAAGATTCGTAGTTGAGGGCCCATCTATTGTTGTCTTATCTAAAAAATATACGAAGGCGAATGTTGATGTTTGGCATTGTGCTCCAAATACCCCAAACATAGAAAACAAGAATGAGATAAACTAAATCAACCAAAGAAGACATAAGGGTACCTTCACAACTAGGGCTGCAAATGAACCGAGCTGTTCATGAACAAGCTTGGCTCGGCTAAGCTTATTTTGTTTTCCCTGTGGATTGTCAGTGCGAATTAGTGTATTATGGGAATGGTTATTGTTCCATTAACGAAAAACAGGTGCCATGGATGGTGAAGTATCGACTCGAAGATTCGAATATTAAAAGGGGAGTAACATATTGTAAAATGAAGGAATATTTGAAGTATTCTACAAGTGAAATGCTAGAAGATTCGTAGTTGAGGGCCCATCTATTGTTGTCTTATCCAAAAAATATACAGAGGCGAATGTTGATGTTTGGCATTGTGCTCCAAACACCCCAAACACAGAAAACAAGAATGAGATAAACTAAATCAACCAAAGAAGACATAAGGGTACCTTCACAACCAAACAATTTACCACTCCACCACCATTAAAATCAGAAAAGGTAGCAAAATTAACCAAAATCAGAAAAAGGGTACCACCACAATCACGAAAAGGGTACCTCAAAAAGTACAAATAAGTCTCCCAAAGCTAAAGAAACAGAAAAAACAATCAAATTACTCAAATTAATGAAAAGGGTACCAAAGAAGACATAAGGATACCTACACAACCAAGCAATTCAACCCTCCAATGTCATTAAAATCAGCACAAAGCAGCTAAATTGACCAAAATTATAAAAAAGTACCACCACAATCAATCAATTAACTTCAAACATCAAAAGAAAGAGCAAAGAACACCTATGATCCATAAAAATCGACAAAAGGGTACCTCAAGAAGTACCAAATTAGTCTCCCAGAGCAAGAGAAACAGCAAAAACAAGTGAATTACACAGATTAATGAAATGGGTATCCACGAATTAACCAAAAAATCAAATTAAACCCCAAACACAAAAAAACAAGAGCAAAACCAACCAAAGAAGACATAAGGGTACCTTCACAACCAAGCAAGTAAATTCTCCAACATCATTTCAACCAGCACAAAACAGCCAAATTAACCAAAATTAAAAAAAGGGTACCACTACAAATCAATCAATTAACATCAAACATCAATATAAAAAGCAAAGAACAGCTATGATCAATAAAAATCAACAAAAGGGGACCTCAAAAAGTATCAAATTCAAATTAGATACCCAGATCAAGACAAACAGAAAAACAAGCGAATTAGTCAAATTAATGAAAAGGGTACCTCCACGAATTAACCAAAAATCAAATTAAACTCCAAACAACAACAACAACAACAACAAAAAACAAAACAAAATCAACTAAAGAATACACGAGGGTATCATCACAACCAATCAATTCAATTCTCCAACATCATTAAAACCAGCACGAAGCAGCCAAATTAACCAAAATTAAAATAAGGGTACCACTACAAATCAATCAATTAACTTCAAATTGGAGAGAACAAAAAAAAAAGGACCTGAAAAAGTATCAAATTAGACTCCCAGATCAAGACAAACAGCAAAAAACAAGCGAATTACACAAATTAACAAAAAAAGGTTACTACCTCCACGATCGACCAAAACGAAAGTGGGCAAAGCACCAGTCTTTGACTTAAACGAGATCCCAAAATCTTCAAAACTGCGACAACCTTTGTGGTTCTCCTTGGGGAAGATCACTGTACCAGCCATGGTGCCACCGTACTTGGGAATACCGAAGTTTCCAATGGCACTGTCGTAATTTCCCTTGACGCTGTCTGGTGATGTCACTGTCAAGCTATTCTTCTCCACCACGAACCGAGCCATTGTTGATGGACACAGATTGATCAAAAGAAACCCTAGAAACAATGAAAGTACTGACCTTTCAAGCCCCATTCTTTCGATTACTTAGCAGAGGAGAGAGAGAAGATGATTCGGTTTTCAGTTTATATGAAGCGTTCTTGAGAGAGAGTGAATTGAACGCACAAATAATAGTAAAAGCTTTCTCTCACTATCAGGGTTTTGAAAACAGTCAAACAACTTTATTTTATTTTATTTTAATCAAATTTTTAAGTTTTTTATTTCACCTAATTTTGGATTTATTTAAAAAATAAAAATCTTTATAAAGAAATCTATAAACAAATTATTAAATAGGAAAAACATAAAAATTACAACAACAAAAAATAGCGTTTATGCATTTTTTTTGTATTTAGTGAAAAAAACTTAAATTTTTTACAAATATTTTTGTTTTTTAAGTGTATTGAGATTAGATGTATTTAAGGAGTTTAAAAAAAAATGTTAAAGAAAAAAATCTTAATTTAAAAGCAAAAAACTTATCTACAATACGCAATTTTTTTATGACTTTATTAATTTTTTTTATTGTGAAAAAAAAAATTAGCAGTGATAATCAAGATAGGCATCATGAGACACTTTAAGAAAATTGCATTTTCACTAAATTAATTACTAAATTAATTCCTTAATTTTAATTAAATAGAGTGAGGTTGAACCAAATTTCCGTTTTTTACACTCATTCAATTAGCAGCTTTAAGCCTTGTATTGCAATAATTTTGTTTAATTTTTCCATCTTGGCTTGTTTTTTGGCTTTATCTACATTATTCAGACAATAACATTTTTTTAATTTATTATATACTTTTAATCTATAAAAATGGAAGTCCTACAAATCAACTTAAAAATCAATAAAATTCAATTAAGTATAAGAAAAGAGTGTTATCTGTGTCTTACATTTTGATACTATCTGATTGAATTTTGGTTATACAATTATCATATAATGCTAAATCAGCTAATAGATTGTGTGTTTGAATTAGTGAGAAGATTAAATCTAAAAATAGAGAGTTTCTTGAGTAATTACATAAGATCAATCTCATGAATAATTGTTCAATAGTCTGCAATATCGTATTTGTAGTTATATATTGTTGAATGATCAATTTGATATATTTTTCATGAAAAGTAATTTGATTAGTAGCTTCAAAGTACCAACTCAACACGTTAACATGGTACTCTCGAATCAATAAGAGCAATAGTTATATAATAGATGAAGTCGATTTGACTCACCTTGATAGTTAGATGAGAGATAAGATTAGTTTCATTCATCTCATTTAGTGCAATCTCATTGATTAGAAGCACTGTTATCTTTGTTTGAAGTGGACCACTTCTTTTTTTTTTTCCTCTTTTTTTGTCTTGCTTCTGTATACGTTAATTTGTTTATGTTCTAAATTCATTGTTTGTAGGTGATTGCTCACATTTAGAGTGGATCAATTTCTAATTAGTGGTTTTGTGATTTGTCACTTTCAAAACCACATCACTTTGTAGTAAAAGACAACTCACTTTGAAAGGATTACAAAGGATGCTAACTGTGGAGGAAAAAATACAATTGGGATATGCCCATGAACTAAAACAGTTCGGACTAGAAAAATGGCCTAATTAGTGAAACATAAAAGACAAAAAGTATAACTTTGTGCACACCATAAATTCACTAAGTTTTACCACAAATGGGCATAACACCATGCATTTCACTGAAAAAGTCATAATAACTTTCGTAGATTTTTTCCTAAAACAATCCTAGACAAGCTGCAAGCAGAAAGAATATTACCAAACAGCAAATGAATCAGCTGCATCTGTACAGGATAGGAAAAATTTTTGAAGATGAACAAATATGTATTCACACCTTATACATTTTGCATACAAACCTAAGAATTGTAATCAGATTTATTACTGATCACCTACTTATAGTATTGATTACCTACTATCATTGGCAATGCCTTATCTTACCCGATACCTATTACAGCTTGTTGGTGGCTCCCGATATCCTAGGTTCCCCCAAACATGGCCCTACTTTGAAGGGATTACTTGTCATTTAGAATAAAAATTTTAAAAAAAAAAATTTATTTTCTGTGACAATCTCCAATGCTCAATCTTGACCAGCTGCATTTATGTTTTCCAAAGCCATGGCAGTCCTCTCAACATGCTTCAGTAGGACCTTGTATATTTTGCTCCTCACCCTTCCGCAAGCTTCCATTTCATAATCCTCCAATGTGGGAGACCCCTCTTTGCTCCCATTAGTTTCACAACTGGTCTCTTTGTTGACAGCATCTAACCAGTCATTCACTCTCTTGATCTGATACATCATCCCAGCTATCTTGCTATCTGAATCTATTGAAGATGTTTTGCTCTCAACCTCGGCTAAAAATTTCTCAACATAACCCATAAATGATCTCCGGCTTTCATCCTGCAAAGCATTGGCCAAGTCAGCAGCTCTGCACAAAGTACTCCCCCGTGCCCACTCCAGCGGATTATCCTTTTCAGATGTCAATCCAACTGCAAACTCACAGTTCTTCCTCAGCTTCCTAACTATACATGCCATCTTAGGTTTGGTGACTTGACTAGCTGTGACTGACTTTTTCGCGGTGTTAGGACTCTCTGTTGTACTCGTGGATCTGAGAGAGGATAAGCATGGGGAAAGATCAAATGCCATAGCTGATTTGATCCATGAAGTTGCATTTTTCTTTCTTTCGACTGCTAGATTCAAGACTTCCTTGACTGAACCCATGCTGTTAATGTCTGTATCTGACGTTTTAAGTGGACTAATATTTGTTAGTGACTGAACTATTTGTCTGGTTTGAGCCAAGTCATCTTGGAGATCGAAAAACTTATCAATGAATGGTTGCGGATCATCCCCTTTATATGATTGGAACTCTGAATATGTGCTGGAAAAACGAGGGGAAAAATGGGTTAGCAATGATAGGTGGAACCTGAATTACCCACAGTTTCATAACTTTTTTGTGTTCATTAACCTAAAACTAGCATATTTGCTAAGCAATGAATTTGTTAAAACCACCTTAGGCATTTGATCAATTTCTCAGCAGCACAAGCCTCTTGCAAAGCCTCAACAGCAGCAAGCACAGCAACATCTTTGTTTCTTACCATATCCTACAATGCCAACAATAGAGGTTCATTGAACATAGCTTTCAATTTCAAGATAGATAGAAGGGTCAGGAAATGCAAGTAATACAAAGAAGAGTGTAAATAAGCCTTTGTAGTTTGTACCTTTCCAAGCTTCGCTAGGCTTGAGGGGAGAGAGTCCCATGAAATTATACTCTCTGCCTCTTTCCTATCACTGACTGCGCAGCACATTGCTTCTGGATGTGAGGTCTCCTCACAGTTTATCTTTGGAGCAATGGTCTTGCTTCTGTTGGTACTTTTAAATGATTTTGTAGTTGAACCCATAACTCGTCTTCTTGTTGTAGAGGTAGAATTGTCATCAGAGCTGTCGTACCTCATGGAGCGAATGGGCGAAACCTGTCTATATAGAAAAAATAAGACTTAATTCTACCATTCAGGAACCAACATGCTAAAGTTCAATAGATAAACAACAAATTAATCTTCCCAACAAAGTACATATAAACCAAGCAAAAGCAATTGCCAACTTAGCAACCATCCCTAATGCGTTCTTTTTTAAGTTATGAACTGTGATTTCAGTTTTGATTCATAAAACATATCAAATCCAAAATTTTGTACAGAACATTTCTAATTTTTTGCATTTTTTTTTACAGTAAGGGATTTTGCTCCTAAAATTTTGTCTAATTCCCAAATTCACCATACTTTCAAGACTAGAATTGAATTTTCCATAAGAGTGACACAATGGAGAAACAAAACAGAACTCTCAGAAACACTCACACAAGCACTGCGACTACGTGCCCTTGGTCTTGTTCCTTGCCTGGCAACTGAAGAGTCAAAAATTTTCTTAACATCCAAAAGTTCTGTTGAATTCCAGCTTCGTCTCTTTGATATCTGCGTGGATGACACACATGACTTTGGACTGTCAGAATCAGTAGTATCATTGTGGAAAGAACTTGGCTCAATTCTTTGGAATCCCCCCAAATCATCTGAACTTCTCTTATCATCATCACATCCTTTAGTGATGTAATTCAATCCCCTTCTCTGCTCACTTGAACGAGCTTTTGAAGCACTCAAAGAACGCAACATTCTACAATTCATTTTCTCCTCACCATCAGTACTCTTTTCCAATAAAGACTCTGAATCCGATAACCCACAAATCAGAGTCTTCTTCTCAAAAATAACACCCTTATCCTTTATTGACTCGGTATGAGATGCTTCAAGAAACTTGACCAAATTAGTGACAGGCAAGATATCTTCTGGAGTTCCGTCACAAGGACGTCGACCTGGGACAGGCATTACACCTCTAAGCAATGGAACCGGGTAAGCAGCCTCCAACTTCTGCACATATATGAACTGCCCAAGTTGCAAAATGTTGCTCAAAATCATTTCATCTTGTTCGCGAGGCAGCGAGGCATACATGGCGTGAGACAAGTCTGAAACTTTCAAGTAAAACCCTTTATTAGGCCAAAAATCACCTTCTTCCAACACAGGAATTATGCTTCTAATTTGCAACAACACGGGTTTTCGAACATCTTCCAACCCCTTTTCATCATCTACATTCATGTCTTCAAGAAGTTTTGTGAGAACCCCAGACTTCAAAGAAGCCATTTTTCATTACACTGAGTGGCTACGAAACCTGAAAATTCAAACGAAACCCAAGAAAGACTGGATCAAATGCGCGAAAACACAAAATGGGTTGTGGATAAAACTATGGACAGAACCTTGAAAAACCATTTCACTTACAAAGAGACCCCCTAAAAAAATAATAATTGAGACATTGTACAAAACAACTGTGTAGGGAGTGGGTCTGAAAACTGAAACATTCAAATGAAACCCAAGAAAGATTGGATCAAATACGAAATGGGTTGTGGAGAAAACTATGGATAGAGTCTTCAAAATGCAAGAAAGATGGGTATATACAAGGAGTAAAATTCAGGGTTTGTATGTACAGTATGTGAGAGAGCAAAAAATTTATCAAATTGGAGATAAGGCGTTGCAAATTCTCAAAAGATAGGAGAAGGGTATTACCAGAATTGGGATGAGAGATCCGAAAGAAGAGCGATTGATGAGAATCGGTGGTTCTGAATCAAGTTGTGGAATCACACATCTGCGCTTTGTTGGGAGTTAGGGTTTTGAACCGACGAAATCGCCGTGCGAGGCGGGAAGGGGAAAGGAAAAGGAAAGGAAGAAGAAAAACCGTTATGCCCTGTTTGGGTATAAGGATTTAGAAAAGAAAAGAAGTCTTTCAATTCCATTAGTACATCTGCCGTGATTATTGCTAAAATAACAAATCTAGAAACGGATTATTGCACTTACACAAATAAAATGACTGTGCTTGGGCTTATTTTGGAAATTCACTATTTAGGTACTATTTGACATAAATTAAATAAGTATAATTTTTTTAATTTTTTACATATCTTTTCATGAAAAGTTAAAAAATATACTTATTTAAATCATTTTAAACAACTTTATAGTTGATTTTTTTTAGATTTTTATGAAAATATATATAAAAAAAATAGAAAGAAAAATTAAATTTTCTGTAATGACTTTTTGACTATTTTAACCAATTGCCAAAATAAGGTCCCATTTGGAAACATGTCTTTTTAGTAACTTTTTGATTTTTTGGCTAAAATATTATGCCAAAAAAAAAACTAACATGTGTTACAATGACTTTTTGATTTTTTACAAAAAAAATATACAAAAAAGAAAAATAAAAGGGAATCTTTGACTTTTTAATTAATTGACTTTTTTATTTTTTAATGACTTTTTAACTTTTAGATTAAAAGATTACTTCCCAAACGAAGCCTAAGTCTTAAGTTCGTTAAAAGCTTAAAAGTAGTTTAAGAAGGCGTTTGAAAATTGATTTTAAAATTTTTTATACAAAAATATGTAGAAAGGTAAAGTGAATGATTTGATAACTCATAGGTGACGTTTATTTACGAGCTTCAGTAATCAGATCGGATTACCATAGTTGTGGGCCCTACTCATAACATGTTTAGTGTTGAAATAGGAGGCCAGATTTGTAATCCCTTATTTTTTGTTTTAAAACCTAAGAGCATTCACAATGGACGTGTTAGTGATTGTGTTAGTGTCAGTGGCCAAATTTTAGCTAGCTACAGTAACGTTTGGATTTCACAATGGAAGTGTTAAGTAGTCTGTTAGTAGATTTTGTTAGTGTCAATTGTTAACTGTGGCTAGTGTTTTTAGCTAGCGAGAGAGAGAAGGGAGAATGAGAGGGGGATGTGGGAAAGTGCCTTGGGATCGTCCGATCGGATGTCTGGCCGGTCATCCTTCCAACGTCCTGACCTTTCACCAAAAAAATATATATATATATTTGCCTTTGACCAGTTGACCCACCGGACGACCTACCCAATTCTACTGTCTTCATTCGTTGCACCTTAACACATATTATTTGTACTATTTTATTTATTATTTATATATATATATATACACTTAGCACACATCTTAACACATCTATTGCACCACCATTCACTCTCTAAAATTAACAAACCCTTGACATACCTTAACACATATTTTTGGACCCTACTTTTATCACTTTTCGTCATATAACACATATTTTGACAAATAATTTTAACTATCCCATTGTAAATGCCCTTGGAATGACATAAATTCGGAGTAGAAGACAGACGATGAGTTAATAAAAAAATATTTAAAAAACATTTTGGCTCTCATCATTTGTGAAAATAAAATTTTTGCTACACTCCAAAATTTTCATTAAGGTCTCGTTTGTTTAGCAAATTAGGTTAAATGGAAGTAAGAGTATGATAAAATTGAGTAAGGAGATTATTAGTGTGGTAGTATTAAGTTTGAGATGTAAGATAAAGTATATTTATTTGTGCACTAGTGTTGTGATATTAATTAGTTAGGACTAAATATGCAAATTAAAAATTTTTTTTACATACAAGATATGTTTGTTGTTTTTGTAAGGTGAGAGGCAAAATAGTGTTTTTACCCTAAATCCATGAGAGTGGAATGCTAATCTCACCCCTTCCATGAGAATACTAATCCCACCAGCGGAGGGGATTGATAATCTCATAAGATTAGCAATCTCATATCACTTTTCCCTATAAACAAACATGTAATTCGTGGGTCCATGGATTATTACTTCAACAACAATGATTCATCCCACTAAAAATATCACCACTAATGCATTAAAAAAGTTAAAAAAAAAAACACAACTCCAAAACCAAAACATCACATCATTAATGACGGGACCCACTGCCACCTAATTAGTGGGAGCACTAATTAGTGCTCCCAAGCATTTTTCATTACTTCAATTCCCTCTCTCAAACCTCAAATCAATTATGACCTAAATTTTTTATCACACACTCATATGACCCATTTGAATATTTGTTAAAAAAAACTGATAAATTTTCTTTGAATTTCTAATTTACTTTAAAAAAAAATCATAAAATTTACTTAATTGTTTTTGTAGGACCTTTTTTTTTTTTTGAACAGTTTTGTAGGACCTATCTCAACCAAAAGCTAATAAGAAAAGAAAAACGTTGCTTAATTCTTGATGAATGAATAGTCTCCAATTTGGAGCCATCTCCAAGAACATGCCTATTACCCACACCCCATCTCTCTTCTATTCTCCAACTAAGGTCAAGTTTGGCATGTGACAAAAAAATCATAAAGTTAAAAAATTATTCAAAAAATTAAAAAGTTATCACAATTCATCAAAAGTCAAAAATTACGACTGCACAACTCTCAATCCTAATTTTTCCTTACACACTTATTTATACAATTTTTTAATATACATTTTTTCATAAAAAGTCAAAAAGTTAACCCAAACAATCATATTTTTTTCCTCAACTTTTTAATCCAAAAAGTAAAAAAATGCACTTATTTAGGACATCTCAAACAATTCCTAATTTTCTTTGTAGGACCTATCTCAACCAAAAGCTAATAAAAAAAGAAAACGTTTTGTAATTCTTAATGAATAGTGAATTCTCTCCTTGATCTCTCTTTTTATCTTCTTATTGATAACGGTGGAGATGCATTACAAGATAATTTAACGGTTCAGATTTAATTATTTAAAAAAATTAAAATAAATTGAAATAGTCAGATGTTGACTGTTAGATCATCTTAAAGTGCATCTCTATCATTGTAAATAGAAAGTTAAAAAGAAAAACCAAAGAAAGAATCTTAACTCGATAAATAGTCTCCAATTAGACCCTATCTCGAAGAATATTCCAATTACCTACACCCCCTTCATCTCCCTTCTATCCTCCAGCTAATGGTCAAGAAGATACAAACTTCCCATTTGAAAATTCAACGAAATCTTGTAGTGGAATAGTAGCGACCACAAAAATTCAGACTAGCCATTTGAATGTTACATTTATCTCATTTTTTCTATCATAATTTTGTATATTATATGATGTGGTTTATTTATAATAATTTAATATTCAAATAATATTATAATAATCATATTTATATAATCATAGTTGTATAGATTGAATGAGTTCCACCATTTATATTTGTTACCAATACATTGATACATTTTGACTTATTTTGGGAAGGTGGTAAAAAGTGACTTTTTGGTTTTTAACCAAACTTTTGGCTTTTTTAGACAAACGATTTGGTAAGTTGGTAAAAAGTGACTTTTGACTTTTTTCATTAATATTTATTTATAATGTCAAATTATAATGAAATGACCAAAGTATCCCTAGCCAATTGAAAAATTACACATTTTTATCCTTTCATTTTCCATCTATGGAGGGTAATTTCGTAATTTTTCTTTTGGCTTATAACCAACATCCCAAATCAATTTATGGCCAAAAAAAAGTCACTTTTTGTGTTTTGGCAAAAAACCAAAACGCCACTTATAACCTTCTTCCCAAATTGAGCCTTTATATGATAAACTAAAAGTTAGCTTTTAATTTTTAATCCATTATGAATCATATCACCTCTTATATTTTTTATTCACAAAAGGACAAAAAAGTTAAAAAGTCAACTTTCAACTAACTTTCAACTAACTTTCCAAATCACCCCATAATATATAAACATGATCATTGTAGCATTATTCTTTAATATTAGTAACATTCATAAGAGGGTCAATATATTATCTATTTTTTTAGATGAATATGATAAATTGAGTATGTAAGATTATTGAATAGATATAATTTTTTGTGCAAATAATATACACTAAAATTTAACAAAATAAATAATTCAAATTATCAACAAAAAAAAAAAACTCCAGTTGAGCTCCACGAGTCTGAACAATACCTTATAGTCTAGATTATATACTTGAAGAGACCAGGTTCCCTTTGAAATGATACTAATGCATTGATAGAAAGGTGGAATGGAATTTAGTGTTATGTGTCTCAAATGTGGAATCTAATAAATCAATATATATTATTGTCATATTGGATAATATTCAATATTTTGGTATCCAAATTTCGTGAGAGATTTATTTATAAATCCTATTTAGAGGAGTTATAGCTCATAAGTTCATAAAGTTTTCTTGTGTTTCACCTAATCCTATATATTTATACTTGTATTTTAGGAGATTCTTTTTTCCTTATTTATAATATTTTTGGGACTAATATACCATTTGTTCTATTTTTTATAGTAAGTATTACACACAATTGTAATCTTGTTGTTTCATTTTTTTGTTTTAACAGTTTTAAAATCAGTGGGATAAGTTTTTAAAACCTAAATATATATTATTAAATTATAATATTGACAAAAAAAATATGGTTGAAAAAGAATCTTACAACACTAAGAAACTTTCTCTCATACTCACTCTCTCTCTCTCTAATTTGCCTATTTGAGAATTAGGAAAAATCACAAAACAACTCCTCAAAGCGATGAATTGGGTGATGATCATCAAAGAAAGAAAATCATCATCATTCTTCCATTGTTGTAGTTGCAAACTTTATGTTCTTCCATTATTACTGTTTGAAACACTGTGTTTTTTCATTATTGTAGTTCGAAACTCTATTTTCTTCCATTCAAATATCGTAAGGGCAAGGTTAGCACCGTTTTTTGTTTTGTAACTGCATATTGGTATACATTGATAGAGATGTATGTTCAGAATTGTTCAATAATTTATTAAAGTTAGATTCGACTTTTTGTTTCATGATAGATTGATATGGTGTTATATATCCATGTATATGCATGCTTATTGATTGGGTATTTTTGTGAATGTAATGTACACATCCACTGAAAATCATTATTGTTGTAAATTATCATATTTTAATATTTTGCATCTGATAATGTGAACTTTAACATTAGAAATGTGTGATGGTTGCATGATGTGCAATGTAGATGGATGATTATATGATTGTTGCATAATGTGAATATTCTCGTTCACATATCACTGATTATTGTATGAGTTTTTATTATTTTTACATGATTATTATATGGTGTGAAAATTCACATTGGTGTTGTGATTATCACATCTTTAATTAATATTAATATTCACAATTAGAAATAGTCATATAAACGTAAATAACAATGTGATATTTGTGCATCTTAATAATATAACATAGATGTGAATGTTCACATCAATATTGCATTTACCACAATGCACACTAAATAATTATATGCCCACAATAACAAATGATTACCAACAATGAGAATGTTCACAGTCCAACTGTAATACCAAAATAACATGACAACATTAACCATGGATTACTCACAACAAATCATAATTAATGTTAATATTCACGTTAAAAAATAGTCATACTAGCACAAACAATGTAAATGTTACCAGTTTATGGTTCTATAAAGGAATATTATTTACCAGCATGTATTTGTAATGTGAAAGTTCACATTAACATTTAGTGAGAAATTTTCAAAAGATAAAGTTTTAAGAATGTGAGAGATTTTTTTCTGTGGAGTAAATGATAGATTTTTTTTCCATAGAATAAGGGAGATATTTTCTTTATGGAATAAGGAGAGATTTTCTCCATGGAATAAATGAGAGATTTTCTCCATATAACAAGACACTGTTGTTGTTTTTTATTATGTATTGGTTGTAAAATAAAAACATGCACAAAAAGTTAGAAAAGTAATTTGGTCATGTTATTCTAAACTGGATCTAATAGAATATTAAAAAAATATATGAATTAAATGGAATATAACTTTTTGAAAAATCGCCCACATCATCTTATTATTAGTTAAACAAATATCATAAACAATCTAGAAGAACATGTTATGAATCTACTGATTTACCATTAACAGAAAGGTGTCTGATTCTTGAAACAAGCTAACAAATAAATCAACCCACACCAACCCATTATTAGCTGGGGCAGTTGGACTTGGGCAGCCTTTTTTTGATTAAAGACACAAATCCAAACACTACAACCTAGTGAAAGAGCATGCACTGGATGATGCTACCCTGTGGGCAACTAATCTAGCCAAACAATATGCACCAGACAATGTTGTTGACACCAGTGATTTTCAAATCGAAATTCAAATTAAAGTTAATAAGCGTGTTCAATTTGAATTAAGCCGTGTCATCTAGATGTAGACCTATCATAGTACTGTATACAATTTAATTTTTAATTCAAAATATTATTTTATTTATTTATTTATTTTGGACGGTTTGATTGGGCATGATTTCAAATTAATTTCTTATTGCAAATTAGTCCTTGTCATTTTCGGTTAGTGGTAATGATCTGTGTTGGTTTTGTTTTATAATTGGATTGGGATGGAATGGGAAGTCCACGTAATAAATATGCCTCCCCTGGTTTTTCAAAGATAGGGCTCGACCAGCCCACGACAACACGTCATTTACCAAACTTTTATAATAGTCAACAAAATTGACTTTGATTTCGAATTTATTGCTAAGTTTACGTGAATATCCCTCTCTTCTTATACAATTGACAAATATACTTTGTTTTACCATGCAGAGATGAAAAATTACGTGGTAGTCTTAGGGTAAATTTACATGGTATTTTAATTTTTATTGATTAAAATAGTAAGACTCAGAAATTTTTATTAGAATTTTAGAGAGTCACTTGACATTTAATGGTATAGAGTAATACTTCAAGACCACCACATCATAACTCTTACATATTAAGTAAATACAAGGAATGGGAAGTCCACGTAATAAATATGCCTCCCCTGGTTTTTCAAAGATAGGGCTCGACCAGCCCACGACAACACGTCATTTACCAAACTTTTATAATAGTCAACAAAATTGACTTTGATTTCGAATTTATTGCTAAGTTTACGTGAATATCCCTCTCTGCTTATACAATTGACAAATATACTTTGTTTTACCATGCAGAGATGAAAAATTACGTGGTAGTCTCAGTGTAAATTTACATGGTATTTTAATTTTTATTGATTAAAATAGTAAGACTTAGAAATTTTTATTAGAATTTTAGAGAGTAACTTGACATTTAATGGTATAGAGTAATACTTCAAAACCACCACATTATAATTCTTACATATTAAGTAAATACAAGTTTATTGTGTATTATTTGGTGTAACTTTTACTTATAACTTATAAAACAGATATATATAACTCAAATAAATTAAGAAAAAAAATAATTATTTAAAAATTAAAAAATGAGTTTTAATTTTTTTTTTTTAATTATGAACTTTCAACCCATTTAAAAAAAAAACATGGCTTAACATATGACCCCTAAAACAATTATTTGAACAACGATAAAATCTACGCATTTATCTATTCGCTTTTACCTTTGAAGGATATGTATGTCAAGTCACCCTTGGAACTTTCCTCACCCCTCATTTCAGTGCACCTTTTGCTAGCTAGTATAAATAAATGTTCAGCCAAGACTTTATTGCATTCGATTCAACATTACAAAAAACAAAAACATTTGATCAAAATTTGAAAAATCTCACGAAGTTGAAAGAAGAAGAGAAAACAAGCTAGCTAGCTATCATGGAAGGCTTAATCCCAATGCTCATCAATGCCCTCAAGAAGCAGAGGCCCCATCACGCCTACCGGGGCCTCTCTGAGGGCTCTAACCGGAGTTATCACTTGTTGATGGCTCCAGATTCTAGGGAAGGCTCTTCCCACCGTCGAACGCGCTCAGAGTTTCAGCCCCCAACTGTTGATTTCCTGGACCAGCAGTCTACGCTAGAATTCTCCCACTCGCGCAGCTTCAACAGAGGCTCGGTGCTTGCATCGGCTACAAATACTGCTATTGGGCGAAGGCAGATTGGTTCTAATACTAATCTTCGACGACGAAATTGATATTTGAAGGAAGGATTTTTTTGAGTTGCTTGGTGATGTTGGTATTTTTTTATTTGCTTTGTTCAAAGTGTACAATGATGCTGTTGAGTTGCAATAGTGGAATAAGCTAAGATCGCCAAGGGTAGATTGTTAAGGTTGGGTTGTGATGGATTTGTAATACTTTTGTCTATACTGCAATTTGTATGGTTAAGGGTTATTTTATTGGAAATTTCTTAAATTAATTTTTGTTTTTTTTTTTTTTTTTTAAAGGCTTAACCTTGTTGCTTGTATTTGTTTTCCCCAAAATTGTGTTTGTGATGATTGTCTATCAATACGACTTTGATTCACGAATAAGAGGTATGATAAGATTATTTTATTTTTCTAGATAAATTATCAGTGTTTAGTTTATATTTTGCGATTTGGAATAACTTATTTCGGGAGCCTTTTTATACCATATATATGAGATTATTCTGTTTAACTTATTTTGAAATAAAACTTCCATTACAAAACGACTAACTGGATAACTTGTTTTGCCTTGTCTATCTGCCAACTAAACATAATCTATGGTTATTAGAACATCTATTGTGGGTTATCCAAGAGTCATAGTATAGCCACACTTTTTTGTTTTTGTTTTAACATTTCTCCTAATGGTGATGTTACTTGGATCAGTTATTAAGTGATGTAAATTGTGGAGAGCACATTAATTGATAGGGGAGAGAGAGAGAGGGGGATGGGCTGATAGAAGCTAGGGGAAGCAGAGAGAGAGAAAAGGGAGGAGGCCTTAGGTGCATTTTTTCAACATAAATACTCAACATACATTTTAATTTTACTATTTAAATTAAGGGTTGGGTTTCTATCCTATTCAGCACATTTAAGTATGAGAGAATTTGAGAATTTCAATAATCAAAACTATTTATTTTGTAACACTTTTAATTTATATTATCCATATCATTTTGTAACACTTTTAATTTAAATTAAGAGTTGGTTAGTCCTTTCACTACCAAATCTCTCTTAAGGAAAAGGTTTTGAGCTCTACTTTTACGAATGAAATGGGATGATAAGATTTTCTTAAAAGATGTATGAGTGTGAGTTTCAACTCATCTCTAACTACTGACTTCCACTGATTAAAAAAAAAAGTAATGGATCGTGGCCTAATTTTGAAACTTAGTTAAAAGTTAAATTTTGATTTTTGATCTATTTTGAATCCCAAAACCTTTCTACTTTTTTATATATATATTTTTAAAACAAATTAAAAAAATAAAAAATTAACTTTTAACCAACTCCACAAAACACACACTGGCTTCTACTAGTTTGGATTTGGATATGTTTGGCAAAGTTGTATCCGGATAAGCTTGAGCAAAGATATTATAAATCAAGAAGTATCATTATTAATATTAAAAACGATGCTGTTCAGTTGTAGTAGTGGTATAAACTAAGATCACTAAGGGTAGATTGTTAAGGGTTGGGGTGTGATGGATTTATAATAGTTTTTCTATACTGCAATTTGTATGGTTAGAGGTTATTTTATTGGAAATTTCTTGAATTAATTATTATATATATTTTTTAATTAGGGCTTAACCTTGTTTCTTGTATTTGTTTTGCCCCCAATTTGTGTTTGTGCTGATTGTCAATCAACACGGCTTTGAATAAGAGGCATGATAGGATTATTTTATTTCTCAATAATTTAACTTGTTTGGTTCTGATTTTTAGAAAATTTTATTTTTTATTTTTTATAGTTTAATATTTTCAATGATTTTTTTAAAAAATTTTAGATACACCTAACATAAATACACTTAAAAAGTATAATATTTGTGAAAAAATCTTTAAAAAATATACTAAATACCAAAAAATATATTTAAAAAAATACAAAAATTTAGCACATTTTTTTTTATTTTTGTGTATTTATTAATTTTTTAAAATATTTTTTCACAAATATTTTACTATTTAAATACATCAAAGTAAGGTGCATCTAAAAAAGAAAAAAAATTACTTAAAATTTAAAAAATATTCACTAAAACAAAAAAATATGAAAAATAAAAAACCCAATTTTTAAAAAATTGAATTTATAAAATTGAAACTAAACACAGTATTTTAGTTTATATTTTGTGATGTAGAATAACTTATTTTGGGAGCTTCTTTATATGGGAAAATTGGCCTAAGGTCCCTCCTTTACTTTTGATAGGAGGAGAGGTCCTTTATAATATGTTTTGATGGCTAAGATCCCTCAAATTTATTTTAGGTTATAAAGTACCTAAATTATCCTTCCTTTATAACATAAATTTGTTTGAATATTATATTGTTGACTTAACTGATAGATTTTGGAAACCGAATTTGAATTGGAGATTTTGTCGGAGTTTTCGTCGGAGATTTCAGTGGAGATTTTATGGTGGAGATTTCGTCGGAGATTTCAGTGGAGTTGACGAGAAAGATTGCTACGATCGTGTAGATTTCGTTGGAGATTTCGTCGGAGATTTGAGTGGTGTTACAGTGTGTTGATCGCGTAGATTTTCAGTGGAGTTTAATCAGGTTTGTTTTCGATGGAGATACCACATGCATTTTGATTTTTGTTTTGAATTTTTGTTTAGAGAGAGGGCAGCTTGATAGAGTTGATTTTTATTTTTGGAATTGATTTTTTATTATTTGTTTTTTAATCAATTTCAAAGAGTGTTGACAGTGTTTTGATCGCGTAGGTTTTTGAGTGGAGTTGAATTAGGTTTGTTTTCGATTTAGATTCCACATGGATTTTGATTTTTGTTTAGAGAGAGGCCAGCTCGATATAGTTGATTTTTATTTTTTGGAATTAATTTTTCATTCTTTGTTTTTTGATCATTTCAAATAGTGTTGACAGTGTAGGTGATTTTGATGTTTAAAGTTCATTTTTGGAGCTCTGTTTTTTATCAACATGCTGATCAATGATAAGTTTTGTTCTATGTTTTTTCAAACCAGAGAAATTTCATTTTCTGCACTTTTGTTTGTGCAGTCCAGAGGAAATTATAAGTGCATATGGACATATTATTGGAAGTTTGTAATGGAGATAGAATATGAGAAAGTGAATGTAAGTTCATAAATTTCTTTGGACTTTTATTTGTAGTTCAGAGAAAATTATAAGTTTGTTACTCATTTTCAGTTTGTAGTTCAAAGAAATTATATGTTTGTAGAAGATGAATAGAAGTTTTTGTTTCTCTAAGCAAAAGTTATTTTTTGTGTTTTTTCTTTCAGTTTAGATGGACAATGCAGTGTTTTTTGTTATCTTGAAGGTGTATATAAGTTTGTAAATTTCTCTGGATTTTTCTATGAGTGCAATATT